CTCTTTTCTCTCGAATGTATGAATCTATAGTTTCTTTTCCCACTTCTAGCATCTGACCCAGCTTTTTACAACTTTCTGATTTATGTTTCTTGATGTATACTCTATCTGGATACAGTAGATGCATACCTACCTGAGTTGAATATTTTTCTATTATCGATACTAGATCAATCTCATTAAAGATGAAACATCGATAGGAAGGATTTCAAAATTGTACCATCACCTTGATAAGTGAGTAGTCAAACTTCATTGATAAGAGATATGCAATATGTCCAAACTTTTCACAAAAAGCCTCATACCTTGAAGGGGTCATACTATTCTATACGTCTAATAGGCTTTTCAAGTTATTATGTTTGAAGAGTAGGTGGACTTCTCTTAATAATGTAAGGACATGATCATGTAGTAAATAGTCTCCTTCTAGCTGCCCCTTTTCTGATTTCATTCTCACCTCTATGGGGGAGTCACATTCGAATAGTATAGATGAGGTGTAAACCTAACATTTTGTATAATCCATGAGGGTTTTTATTGAAATAGCTTTGAGGCAAGAATACTGTGCAATCTGTAAACATGTTCTTGAATGTATACAAAAAGAAATAAAAAAAGATAAAAAAATTAGTTAGTCACTTTAATGAAACATAGGGAAAATATAATAGTTAAGATAACAACATGATCTAGAATTTTTGATTATCTACAAAACGTGGGAAAATAAGGCTCCATCTATGTTAGGCTTCTAAAGTTAACTATATGTGGTTTGGGCTATTTCTAAAAGGTTCACAAATTGTTCCCTACATCATGGTCCATTACAAACTAGTAAGGCACCCTAATCCGCACCCATCATAAGCTTCAAGTGGAAAGGATTTAATCTGAGTGGGAGTGTTTCGCAGCCTATGCAAAGACATAAAATGTCACGAGGGCATAGATACTTCACTCCCTCCTAAAGATAGAGCTCGGGTAGAGGGCTTATATATGTACATGCAAATAAATGACAAATAAATAAGCAGATATTTAAGCAAATATAAGTAACGAATAATAGGGTAGACAAATAAACAATTATGTAATAAATAATAAAGCAGGTATAAGCAATGAAAAAGGATAATTTTAAATTTGTTAAGCAAGACTTGGATAATAAGAAATCTTTTACTGGCTTGACTCTTTAATGTCTCCAACGGAGTCATCAAACTGTCATAACGTATAGATTTGTGGACCTACAGCTAGACTTGGAATGAAAAAGAGTTGCTATCAATCTTTTTTGGTTAAGTGTGATTGGCCACCTGATTGAAGCTGATATGCAAAATAAAGGTTAGGTTCAGAAGTCGATTACGTATGAGAAGATTGTAGTACCCCCACAACACCTATCACAAAGATAATACTATTTTGATTTTGAATTATCTAGGCCTTGATCATTTTTATGACTTACCAAGTAATTTAACATTTTATTACATAAAAAAAATAGTAAAACCTAAAAAATTTTCTCTTATATTTTTTTATGTGTTATTATTTTGACAACATTATTTACAAAGATTTTTTTTTTGTTTTTCTCTTTTTTAAAAAAAAAGATATTTTTTCTTCTTTTTTTTTTTAAGAATACCATTGGCAGAAATATATTTTACTTTTTTTCTTGAAAAAAATAGAAAATAAAAAATGGGTTAAAAATAAAATCAAATAAAAGCAAAAAATAAAATAAAATGAAAAAGAAAAAGCTTGTAATCAGGTCGAAGCGCGAGTTAACGCGCGGGTCACCGAGTCTACGTGCAAATCATAGCTTACCCAAAACGATGTCATTCTGGAGTAGTATAAAAGGCACCCTTATGTGTTTTTCCTCAGAAATCCCAAAGCCTCTTTTTCTAGCCCAAAATCCTCTACTTTCTCTCTAAAAATTTTCACCTAAAATTTCAACCAGGATAAAAAAATTCATCAATTTCTGAAAAAGTTACCGAAAAATTCAAATAGAAATTGAAAAACCACCAGTTTTTAGGAAGTTGGCCAGAATGTGATCTAAAAATTCAACCGATCGTCAGAAACTTCATTGAAAAATTCATACTTTACGAAAAAATTCAACCAAACCCAAAAAAATTTTTAGATGGTTCTAAGCCTTCCCTGAACCTCCTATAACCTTAAATTCACCTTCAAAATCCTGAATTTACTCCCAGAACTATAAATCAACTCTAAAATTTCAAACTTAACATTCCAGAATACTTTCTGCCCAAATCTCCAAAAAATTTCCAATAGTATTTCTCTATTTTTTTTCCAAATCCTTGTCCTGTAGAATTGGTTTAATTTCTAGGTAACCTAGGATTAATTCAGGAAATGGACAGAATCAATCCCAGGCTTGAATCTTAGGATTGCATTCTATCTAATTTGATTTTTGGTCTAAAATTCCAATGATTTGATCTTGTATTTGACCCAGGGATTCTGATCCCAATTCTATTGTGCACGTGTGGATTGAAACAGCAAAGTAATGTAGCAAGGAAGGAAAAAGAATAAAAAAAAAGGATGAAAAATAAATAATAATAATAATGATAATAATAAACAAATTAACACTTGGGCCTAGGCTCAAATGGGCTCGAACATTGATGGGCCTAATTGGGTTCAAACTTTAATAGACCCAATCGGGCCTGGACCTTAACGGGCCCGGACACAAATTGACGTTTTTATAATTGGTGGGCCCAATTGGGCCTAAACCTCGATAGACCTAATCAGGCTCGAACTTCAGTGAGCCTAAACACAAATAAGTGTCTACATTAGAAAGAATTTTTAGGTTTAGTTTCTAGGTTTAAAGGTTCTAGATTTATAGATTTTGAGTTTAATTTGAAGTTTCTGGTTTAGATTTGAAGTGCTAGAATCAAGATTTCGAATTTCTAAGTTCAAGGTTGAAAATCTGAAAATTTTTAGAAATTTTCTAGAAAACTGGGTTTGAAGGTTTGAATTTTTCGTTAAATTTTTCAATAGACTTTGAATTTTTCGATGGAATTTCGACGATATTTTTCAGAAACCGACGAGTTGCCTGATTTTTGGTTAAATGTTCATGGCTTTTTTAGAGAAAAGGTGAAGAAAATCTGGGCTAGAGAAAGAGAAGACTGGGAGCTTTTGAAGAAAAACGGAGGAATTTAGCTTTTATAGCGTCCCAACACAATGCCATTTCTAAGTGCCCAGGATCCGCGTGAACTCGAGTAGGATCCTGGGAGCTTTTGAAGAAAAACGGAGGAATTTAGCTTTTATAGCGTCCCAACACGATGCCATTTCTAAGTGCCCAGGATCCGCGTGAACTCGAGTAGGATCCGTTCATCGCCCGTTGATCAACTCGACCCAATCACAGGTTTTTCTTTTTTCATTTTATTTTTTAATTTAATTTAAGTTTTTTTACTTTATTTTATTTTCATTTTTATTTTATGTTACTTATTTTTTTCTTTTTTTGAGCAATTTATTTTCATTTTGTAAATTTTCTTTTATTTATTTTATTTAAAAAAAAAGCCTAAAAATAAATTAAAAAAAAATTCTCTTTTCTAATAAATTTACGAATCCTACCAAACTATTAAAAGATCTTTCATGACTTTAAATTTTATAAAATCTACCAAACTATTAGAGAATTTCATAAATCGATTTTCAAAAAGAAAAATAATTTTTGTTTTAATAAAATTTTGTATTTTATCCTACTAAATTATTGGAAGATTGCATCTTAAGTTAAATTTTATCAAACTATTGAAAGATTTAATAAATTTTTTAAAAAATAAATTTCATAAATATTTCGTAATAAAATCTCACCAAATTATTAGAAGATTTGCATCAAAATAAATCCTACCAAACCGTTGAAAGATTTTATTAGTTATTTTCTTGGATAAAGTATATTAATAAATTTGACGATGGAACCTCTTCAGAACGAGACATTAGTCTTCATGAATATTTATGAGGTGAGAAAATTATCTTAAATTGCTACCAAACTATTGGAGTAATTTTAGGATTAATTTTTAATATTAAATATTTTGATAAAATATAAATATATTTAAGGTTTAGATAATTTGAAATCAAACTGACACCATCTTTTAGATGGGCACTTTAAAGGTATTATAATATTTCTCACATGTAATCATACTCTTGAACCTAAAATTTAATTTCGTTGATCAGAATTTATTATTTAAAGATATTTAACTCAATCTTGAGACTTTTTTTTTAAATAGAACAGATTCAATCAGGTGACCAATAATACCTAAACAAAAAATATTAGTGACGATTTTTTAATTTATGTCTAATAATAAGTTTACAGATTTATACATTATGATAAATATTTAATATATTTTACAAGTAGCTTAATAAATTGATGCATTTTGATTTTTTAATTATTTTTTATTTTTTAAATATATCTTCTATAAGTAGCACTTTAATAATTTTATTTGTAAAATCTAAAAATTTTGTTAAATAAATGAAATAATTGTTCATATAAAATTTAAATAAAAGGATGAACCTGGCCAAACCCCGCAGCTCGACCATTGGGGCACCGACCCACATGATCATAGCAGCACGAGACTTGAAAGATTATCTATGGCTACGAAAAGAGGAAGGTTTGAGATACATAGTGAAGTTGTATGAAAAAAAAAAAAGAAAGAAAAATTTGCAAACAGATAAGGAGATACCGGTAACCTTATTATTATTTTTTTTTAATTTTATGAATGATGACATTAAAATATCTTTAGTGGATGTTGTACTATAAAATAAAAAAATTTTAAATTGCAATATTTTTATATTTCTAGGTGTTTGATAAGAAATGATGCTTAATTAAAGGATTTCTTTTATGTAATATACTTTTTTTTCTCAATTGTCTCATAAAAATTGTTTTTTTTTTTAAGTAAAAAAAAATATTTTTCATGCAATTAGCATGTGCAAAGTTTAACATACGAGTGTCATGCATAGACCCTCAATTGTTACAAATAAAGAAAATAATAAAAAAAAGAAAACACGTGGTTAAGATCAAACCGTTAGATCAATGCTGGCAAAAATATCAACCACATTTGATCTGAACTTCCTTAATAAAACGGTCCACGATTTTCTCACTTTTTTGTACCTCCCTCTCTTCTTTCCACCCAAAAAACAAAAACAAAATCAAATAAAAAAAAGAAACGCTTGCGCTCTGTCTTTGTTTTGGCGCAAGCAATGGAGCAGAAAATCTGACGCTATATTTTCTTTAGAAAATGAAAGAAAAGAGAAGAAAAAGAAGTGGGCTTTGAAAAGCTTTATCATCTTGTCTATTGGCACTTCTATTTTTTTTATTTACTTTCATATACTATCGGATATATATTATTCAAAATCTTAGGTAATGTTCCAATCTATTTCCAATAATTCCTTTTTGTTTTCATTTAGGGCTTTATTTTCCTATTAATTTTTCTTGATTCTGCAAAATTAATAATAGGTTTTTAGTTTTCTTGCAGTTAATTAATGGGTTGTTTTAATTTGCATAAAGAATAGCTTAAATATTTAAAATATTGAATTTTTATTTTTATTTTTCAGTTGAAGTCAAGTTATTGTGAAAATAACATGCTAATAATGTTTTGCGTTATCAAAACTATATGTGATGTTTAGTTTACTTAAATCATGATGTTTTGAAAAGTTTGAATTTATTTGGCTTGGCTTTTTATTTATAATTAGTTTTAGTTTAGTTTTGTATGAATTTGGTGGGAAATATCAGATCTTTTCTTCTGAAAATCTTGTTGATGCTTAATGCCACTGTTTCGCTGTATTATTGTTTTAGGATCTAGTTTCTTTTGTTTATGTAGTGGTGACCTCACAAAGTGATTTGAATGACTTGTTAATATATTTGTAGTAAATGCTGTCCTGTTTATTCTGTAGTTGCTTTGTTGTCTGATTATGCTGTTGGTGCATCATTTTGGAGAGCTGCTGCTGCTCAATTTTTCTTACCAGTTATGTGATGTTGTAATCTTTTTATAACTACATGCACACACACTTATGCTCTCTCTAGAATTTTAAGACATGGGTTTTTTACGTGATTAGTGTAAAAATTTATTCTACGCTTGATTTCATGGCAGCTTTTTTGCAAAGAGGGAATAAAGTTGGTAGATTTGTAGATTTTGCAGTGCCAAGTGTTTTACGTTGCTTTGCACAGCTTATTAATTTTGGGGGGAGAAAAGCAGTAGATATCTAGAAAGTCTGTAAGCAACCTATGCATTCACACCTTCTACTTGGATCACCACACTTAGATGGACAGTTCCTTTCCAGAAGAAAGCTGTGAGCAAACTGACCAATACCCCTTGCTAATGGAACGAGTGGAAAGCCTTAGAGATCAAGAGCACATTATTGACATAACAAGGCATGATGATGCTTCATCACACTTATCTCCGGAAGAGCAACCTTCTGGAGTGAACTTAATACAAAGTGAACATAGACCTTCAAGTAGCACACAAGCTCCCACTAATCAGACTTCTTCTTTCTCAAACAGATTGAACTCTAGGAATTCATCATTCATGAGAAGTGCTGGGTATGATCGTCGTCATAGGAGCCCTTTAAATTCTGGATTATGGATTTCTGTTGAGTTAGTTGTCACTGTCAGTCAGATTATAGCATCTATTGTTGTTCTGTCATTGTCAAGAAATGAAAAGCCACAAGCTCCATTGTTTGAATGGATTGTTGGTTATGCATCTGGTTGTGTTGCAATACTTCCTATTCTTTATTGGCGCTTTCATAACCGCAATCAGGGTATCGAGCAAGATTCATCACACTCACGTCAAGGTTCTTCTCATGGCAATCTCAGCGAGACTACACCCTATACAGCTGTCTCAGTTACTCAAGCTTCAGATGAGGAGAATAATCACATCACTGAATCAGCAACAAGGAACGCTGAGATAGCAGGAACTTTAAGTACAAGGTGTGTTTTCATTTGTTACTCAGTCGCTACTTTATGTGTACTTGTGGGTTAATAAAACTCCGGATTTCTCTTTTTATACGATAAAGTTGGATAGAGGGGATTGGAAATTACTTTACATCATTAACTTCCTCGCATTTATCATCAATGATGAAGAGACTAATTAATAGTGCATTTTAGTTGAATAACAATTTGTAAGAGCATGAAAAAGAAAAAGTTCTGGCGCCTGCTATTTTTTTATTGATTTCTTTTTGAACTCTTTGTTGGACTAAGACTAAGAGAATGTAATATGGCACAAAAACATAGTAACACTTTTGGTATAATTTGAGGGTTTAACTTCATGTAGTTACCAATTTAAAGGTTGAAAACAATTATTTGGTTGATGTGTTTTGAGTATGTTAGACTTTGACTTGATGACTGCCAAGACTTGAAACATTGATTTATTCACACTTAACAGAATGAAGCGTGCATGTTTTTCTGGTGGGATTTTTCATCAATGTGTCAATTGATATTTATTTCTGTTAAGTTTTTCAAATAGATTCTGAATATCTTGAAAGAAATTGAGAGCAATGAGGATTTTAGATGGAAGGTCTTCAATTTTCTTCTTTTTCTATGTTCTAGCTAAGGGGGAATTGCTAAGTGCAAAATTGTTGTGATGGTAGTGGTAGTAGAACGAAATGATGGTGCTTATGGTGGCAGTCATAATGGTGGAAATCATGAAGACGATAATGATGATTCAGTTACATATTTATGCCAATACTGCAAAGTTCAATGGTGTTACCACTAACATCTTTGTTTTTGTGATGGTGTTGGTGAGTAATGGTGCTGGAATGGGGAGACTGTAGTGGCATTGGAAATGGAGATGGAGATCTATTCTGCACAATATTTTAGATTGATCTTAGGCTTCATTTAGGTGCACAAAGAGAAATTGTGCTTTTTGCTATCTAAGAAATTTTGAATTATTTAGAAATGGTTTTTTTTTCTTTTTGTATCTGAAATTTAATTTTTGCATTTTGTAGATAATAAAATTAAAAAAAAAAGAAGGAAGAGATGTAGCAAGAATAGCAACCAGGTCTAATTTACTTAAAAGAATTTTTTGGTTTGTAATAGATTGCAATATGGATTAGAAATCCTCCTAATAATTGTTCTTGTGCAATAAACACTGGTATGTTTTGAATTAATTTCACAACTGGTATGTTTTGAATTAATGTGATCACTGAAGTGTAAGCTGGAGTATGCAAAAGGAGCCCAGTAAGCTTGTTGATCTACACAGATAAATACAAAATTGAGATATTAGTATTATTATATCAGTTCATTCAGTATTATTTCAACACCCAACGTTCTTGTCAATGAATTTTTTGTAAAATCTGATGAAATGGGACTTAAACAGTCGCAATTGTGTTCTTCAATTGGGATTTGAGGTAACTTTAAATTCTTGCTCAAAAGGAGGACATATAAAAATTGAAACTTATATGATAGTGAAGCCAAAACTTTGCATATTGTACTTTGAAAAAAATAAGCATGCCAAAAATTTAGGAGCTCTTATGGCCATAAAGAGGCAATGCAGTTAAAAAATATATGTATGCATATAAAATATAATAAGCTGTTATTGTAGTATCTCAGAAGTTTCTGTAGGTTCTGTATATTATCATTTAGATGTTGTCACTAAGTGAAGAATTGGCATCTAATATGCAGGCTCAATGGATTAGTAGACCATTTCAAGATGGCCCTAGATTGTTTTTTTGCAGTGTGGTTTGTTGTGGGCAATGTGTGGATATTTGGAGGTCACTCATCTCCGTCTGATGCTCCTAAATTGTACAGGTACAATGGGGACTAATGAAATCTATTGCTCTGTTTTGACTGAGATTCACATTTTCATTACGGTTTGTCAACTGTTTATCGGTTTCATTGCAGATTATGTATAGTGTTCCTTACTTTTAGCTGTATTGGATATGCCATGCCATTCATACTATGTGCAACAATTTGTTGCTGCTTGCCTTGCATAATTTCTGTCCTTGGTTTTCAAGAGGATTTTTCACAAACTAGAGGAGCCACCATGGAATCTATAAGCGCATTGCCAACCTACAAGTTTAAATACAAGAAAACTGGAAATGTAAATGATCAGGAAAATTCTGCTGGTGAAGGTGGAGTCCTGGCCACAGGTACAGCAAAGGAACGTGTGATATCAGGGGATGATGCAGTAAGTTTAATGCTAGGAATTTGCTAACATTTTATTGGTCTTTACATGTAAACTGCAATCACTTAACCTGCATTCAGAGTACTTGCTAAAATCAAACTGGATGAAACTGAACAAATTTAATCATAGACAGAACAATGAATTTTTGGAGCATCTAGCTGAGTTTTGTCTCTTAATTTTTCTTGCTGCATTCAGCTATATGTTTGCTTTGCTTGACTTCTGGTGTCCTAAAATGTATAACTTTGTGAGTTGACATGAATATCTCTTTATTCACATGGTTACTGGATACATAAAATAGATATGTTGCATTGACTGTGAGGTGCAAATGAGCAATTTTATCTTCGCCTGTCCTTGGATTAATAATACAGCTTACTAACTTGAGATGTTGCAGGTTTGTTGTATTTGCTTGGCAAAGTATGCAGACAATGATGAGCTGAGGGAGCTGCCGTGCATCCACGTCTTCCATGTGGTGTGTGTAGATAAATGGTTGAAAATCAATGCATCCTGTCCCCTATGTAAAAATGAGATCGGTGAGAGCAGCAGGGCTTCACCATTAGCAATAGCTAGAGGCTCAAATTAACAGAATAGGAAGAGGATGGACTAGGAACCAGTTGAAAATGGGGCAATGTCTTAAATATTTTGGTGCTCAGCTCCTGCTGCTGTTGCAAAATCCTTGAAGATCTTTACTTTGTTCTTCAGATTCAGTTCCGCATGGCCATGCACCAGATACAAATATGAAGTCAAGTCTATCATCAAGCCAAAAAGTTTGCAGTGCTACGCTATTAAGAGATTATTTCTTCAGGCTACCTCTCTTGTTCTTTTTTCCCTCCACTGTTTATATTTTGCTCTTTCCTTGCCACGAAATTATTTTGATCGTTACCGTCTTGGGTACTGCATCTGCTCTTCACCATGTTGTACGTAAATCGGAATTTTCCAAACTAAGATTTGAATATTTGGTGGTTTCCAAACTAAAGTTTGAATTTTTGGTGGCTCTGCTGTACTTGACTTGACGATGAAAATTTCTTCTTTCATCATATATGATAGTAGAAAAATCATCTTTATAATGAAGATACTTGGTCCATCTCTTACTTGGATTTCGTTATCAAATTGTTAGGAATAATAACAGGTCGGATTAAGGCATCCTCTAAGTCGGTTTAGGTAGTATGGGTTTGGGTAGTAAGATTAGAGCATCTTAAAAGTCGATTTGGATAGTATGGTTTGGATGGTATTCCGATAATAAAATATTATAATTCATTATAGGTTGGCATAAAGTTCGGATAGTGTTTTATGGGTACTAATTATACGAAATTGATTATAAATAATAGTATTTTAATACTATATATTTATTTATAAATTATTTATTATGAAGGTAATACTTAAATTAATTTATTGAGTGTTCTAATTTATAATTTTAGTTTTTATTTATTTTATGTGGATTACTTTCATTTATTAATTTAATTTCTTTTAATAATATTTTTTAAAATCAATTTTAAATTTGAATTTTAAATTTAAATTTTAACTTAATAAATGAATATTTAATGAGTTTGAACAATAATTGATTTTTTTTATTATATGAGTTAGATTTAGATAATAAAATTAAAAATTATTTGAGTATTTATTGAATTCAACTCATTCATAAAATTTGTAAAACAATTTATAAAGCAAGCTTCTTTGCTAGTTTCAAACCAAAGAAAAAGAGGTTCTAGTTTCAAACCGAAGAAAAAGAGGTTCTATATCTTTCTCTGGAATCATTATAAGAATTAAGTATTTTTGTGATTTTTTATTTAACATGTAATGCAAAAATAATATGATTATTTAAAACGACAAATTTTATATTCACTTTATCTTTTTAGTTATTATTTGAAGTGAAAGTTTTTGCTAATTGTTTTCGATTAGTTTGTACTCTAAAACAACTTGCTTGCATGATATCAAAATATCAAACATATTTTATTAATGATTAAAGTTACCTTTTAGCATGTTTGATTCAAAGACAAATCAAAGTAACTTTTTTAATTAATATCTAATACTAATATAGATGATTAGAAAAATGATTAGGTATAGGGGAAAAGACAATGGGAGAATTATAAAATTAAGTACTTCATAAAAATATTTATTATTTGATTTTATAATAAAATAATTAATAAAAATATTTATAAGTAAAATTAATAAAAAATTAAAATTATATCTCAATATTTAAATTTACATATATTTTGATTAAATGTATATGTAACATATAATAATCATTTAAATTTTAAATTAACACCTATTAAACATTAAATTGGTAAAAATAATTTATATTTCTATTAATTTTATATGTTAAATATCTTATTATGATATCAATTAATAAAAATTTGTGAGATCACGCTTTTATTAAATTTTCCGTCAGACAAATGAACCAACGGCCCATATATATTAATCAAAAAGTTATTTATTTATTCCTTTTTAATTTTACTTTTGTTCAAGCTTGTTATTGACAGTAGGGTTGAAGCAGCAGATAAACGCCACCACTCTATTGTCTCTCTTGCAAGCCCCTAACTCTCACTTCATCTCTCAAGTCTCAATCTTCTCATTTTTTTTCTCTAACGATTCTCGTTTTTCTTCTAAAATTTTCTAATTTTCTTCAACAATGGGAGCTTCGTTGCCTCCGAAGGAAGCTAACCTCTTCAAACTCATTGTCGTAAGGCTTCGATTCTCTTTTCTCTCTCATTTTTCAGTTCGTATCTACGTATTTCTACTTGGTATTTATACTCGTATTTTGCTTTCTTATTTTCTGTTTATTCGATCGCACTTCTTTTTTCTTTTTGTTCTTTGCTTGCAAAACCCTAGCTGGATACTGGTCTGTTTGTTTGCTGAGAAAATTGGTGGATATCAATTATAAATGGAAATTTGGACTAGATAAGCTTGTTTATCAATTAGGTTTTTGCTTTTCGGCAATTTTTCGTATAAATTAAGTTCATTTTCTTTGTTCTGTTTAGCAATTGAAGCTTAATTAAGTTTATTGCTTTGCTTAATTTAGGTCAATGAATTCGATTTTGTTGAGAAGCAACTTAAAAAAATTGAATTTTGCTTTGACCTTATTTTTCTTAAAGTAAGGATGCTCGTTGTGCTTTCCTTTTGGTGATAATTCATTTGTATCATCACGGAGAAAATTAGAGAAATGAAAATAAAGGGGTTTGGTGACTCCTACTTTAGTGATTTCTCTTGCATGTTGCCAACTTTTTAAAATTGGAATTTTGTTGGTTCCTAATGGGAAGCAATTGTGGCATTTTGGCTTTGATGCACATTAGCATTCAAGACAATAACAACCTTTGCGAAACAATCTATTTAAGAATTTGATAAATTGACTGGGACAATTGTTAATGTAATTGTAGACTTTGCAGGTTAAACTTGAATATTTATATATTTTAAGAACTTGTTGGTATTAGATATAGAATAGCAACATTTGGATGTTTTCCACACGCTATTGAGAGTTTTCCCCCCTTTCCTCTTATTTCTCCTTATTTATAGTGAAAACTAGAGTTTTGACTGGTGAATTCTTACTCTATTTTAACTTCTATAGTAATGGACTCTTGACACAGTTTTTTTGCCTGATTTTTATGTAATTAATTTTTTTCTGTTATTATATTCTAGCTAATTCTCATAACTGAATTTTTATTGCTTGGAGGTCCATGTGCTATTGCTAAAGCTCTTGTATATTTTATCATTGCAGAAATCACATGAAACTAAACAGTACAAGAAAGGACTGAAGGCTGCAGATGCAATACTGAAAAAGTTTCCTGACCATGGAGGTAATTTAATTTTAAGCACTTATTTATTTATTTATTTGTTTTTGGCTGAGAGGCACTTATTGTTTAGTGTTTATGTTTGCATGGTTCTTGTAAATGTACCTGTATAAAGATGCAAGAACTCTGAAACAAAAAGAACTTTACACTTTAGAGGAAAAAGGGGCTGTCACTAGATAGTTTATGTTGTTATCAAGGTTATTGGTTTCGATAATCCTTACAAGAATGCCTCTAAATTTGACATGATTGTTTCTGTAGACTGTATGTTCCTTTCTTATGTCTTATGATTGATGTCAATTGCATTTTTGACAGCACTAGCTGTATAGTGACTAGTCCATGATTTATGATGGTTCTAGAGATAAGTGGAACATTCTAGCAGTATCAATGTGAAGATATTCTCTATCAACTGAATATATTGCATTAATTTGGGGTATATAACGACATTTTTAGCCTATGCAGTTTGAAATCTGCAATATTTGAATACCTTCTTCATCTTGGTTGGGTTTTGTGAATATTCATTAGCATGTGGTATTGGTAGAGTGTAGTAGCTCTCTCTCTGCGTTTTGTTTAATATATCCATTCTTTTAAATATGCACTTTCCAAGTAATATTTTATACTATCTGGCAACTGTTTGTTTATTGTGTTTGTATGTTGTCATATGGGCTTTTATTCATTATTGTCAGAAACATTGTCAATGAAGGGGTTAACCTTAAATTGCATGGATCGGAAAACTGAAGCTTATGAGCTTGTTCGGCTAGGTGTAAAGGTTATCTTATTTATTTTCTTTTGGTTGCTATAATGTCAAAGCAATGTCACTTTTTCCTAACATTGTTTTCATGTTTGTGTCTTAATGTAGAATGATGTAAAAAGTCATGTTTGCTGGCACGTTTATGGTCTCCTCTATCGGTCAGATAGAGAATACAGGGAGGCTATCAAATGCTATCGCAACGCCTTGAGAATAGATCCAGACAACATTGAAATACTACGGGACTTGTCACTCTTGCAGGTATACCTTATTTACCTTCCTTCTTTATGATTTGTACATCTAGACTTAGTGTTAAATCTAAGATGTTTATCAGTTGTATGCTTAATGTTAAGTAAGAACACTTGCTTGTCATGGTATTTTTCAAACATTTAAAGGAGTTTCTCTGTATAAGATTTCTTGTAAGCTTTGTGGCTTGCCTAAAAGATTTTTCAGATTCCATTGTAGAATTTGAGAATCTTAAGTATTAGGGTACTTGTAGGCAAGTCAATATTGCAACTAAAATAGTTTGGTGCCAACTTTTGTGCAACTGTAAGTTTCGTGGTAGTTGGTAAGGGCAGGTTCATTGTGGTAACTTAATATAACTGGATGAAAACACCAAGATCAGCTACATAGTAGTGAAGTGAAAATAAATTTTATGAAATTTGAAGCTGTTTAGTTGCTTGATGGAATCTACTAGTAGATGGATAGAAAAGGCATAATTATATTAAGATAGTAACAAAAGAAATGAAGATATATGGCTTAAAACAGAGGAATGGAATTTATGGAGATAACTCAACTAAAAGGGAGAGGCTGTATGAGACCATGAAAAAAATATCTTCTTAAACACTTGGAAAGTAGATGAGTCAGCTGGTTTTGTAACTTTGAAAATTTAGATCATAGTTTTGATAGAAACAATTTATGGCTTTAGGGGAAGGAAAAGGATATAACAGACATCATCTGATATTCTGGCAGCAGATTAATATGAGAGATGGTTCAGATTTAGTATCTTAATTGAAGGTTTTGTTTTGATGCACACACAAAAATAAAACATAAGTAATATAATCAGAAGCAACCAGTCTGATTTGATCCTTTCATCTCATTATACTGTAACAAGCAACCACCTTGAATTGATAGTTTCTGGTCTACCGCCACAGATCCTTTTTCTCTCTCATGCTACTAGTTCCTTAATGGTTGAAAGTGTTTATAGAATGACAAGTAATATAATCAGAATCAACCAGTCTGATTTGATCCTTTCATTCTCATTGTCCTGTAAGAATCAACCACCATGAATTGAGACTTTCTGGTCTACCGCCACAGAACCTTTTTGTCTCTCATTCTATTAGTTCCTTAATGGATGAAGGTTTTAACATGAATGACCTTTGCAATTAGAAAGTGTTTATACTTTCTGGATCAGATCTGGTTCGGTTCTTCTCTTAACTTCATCTGCACATGTGTCTTACTGCTCCAGGATAGTAACAAAAGTCGGCGTCTTTGATACTGAAATTGATGATTTTCATTTCTATTATTCTCCCTTGATGCTTTAGCACTGGCCATATTATGGATTCTTAACTCAGGATTTCAGACAATTAAGTCATTTGTTGGCATTAACTTATTTGTGCCCCCCCCCTTCCCTTTTTTATGGTTTATATGCCTTGAAAAGTTAAAGGAAAAAGTATGAAGATGATGAGCATTTGTCTTTCTATTAAGATATGAAGTTTGAGAGAAATTTTTCAGATTTGATCATGGTTTTGTATTTTCTCATTGTCATGTTTCAGGTTGTTTCAGAAATTATTACATTTATGTTATCTTTTGCATTGTAGGCACAAATGCGAGATTTGACAGGATTTGTTGATACAAGACAACAACTTTTGCATTTGAAACCAAATCATCGCATGAACTGGATTGGCTTTGCTGTAGCCCACCATTTAAACTCAAAGTACTTGTCCTCTATTTTTTTCTTAAAAAAATTTGTTCCGATTCTTATGCTAACTTTCACCAATTTCTGTTGACTTTTATTTTGTGAAACATGTTTTAAAGTGTTGTTATTGTTATGTATACTTGAAGGTCCAAAATGAAGGGCCTTTTGGTATTGAAAGTTGAAATATTTGTTGATATAATGAAAGCCTTTCTTTAAATTAATTGCTTAATCAGGACTTAGTGTTTCTAATTATATGATCAATTGGTGCTAACATGGATGAAATTACTGTTGATTTTTAACACGTGGTTCATATTGTTTGTGTGACTTCAACTAAACATCCAATAAGATATCAAACTTCTTTTATGACAATATATGGTGGGTGTAGAATGTGTTAAAGATGTTACTAATATGTATAGATAGGTGGGTAGATAGATAGATAGGTACCCTACTATTCTAAGCTGGTTGCACTTGCATTTATGAAATTTGGTTGCAAATTAGCCTTTTACAAGCAATGCCTTGTTAACTGCAGAGTTCTGTTGTTTTTGCTATAGTTTTATATGGAGACAATGATGATGCCATATTTTCATTTGGCTTTATATATGAATGAATTGAAGTTGTTGGCACAGCAGTTATGAGAGTTTTTCCTTTTCTGTCCCTGTCTTAGCCAAGTAGTTCTAAGTGAATGAAGTCTTATTAATTTCATTCATCCTTTAGGTATTTATGCTGTATTCCTTTTTTTGGTTGATATTAGTGGTGCAAAAGCAGTTGAAATTTTGGAAGCATTTGAAGGGACATTAGAAGATGATTATCCACCAGATAATGAACGTTATGAGCATGGTGAAATGCTTTTATATAAGGTATTGGTCATGTACTTCTACTCTTTTTTTTTTTTGCATGCATACGTATGTGGGATGTGGCTGTAATGTCACATGAGTTGACCTCATTATACAGACATTCAAAATTTTAGAATTTATACTAACTTATAATGGGAGTGACTGATTTGGTGTCACTTGTTAACCAGATGCCAACACAGTTAGTGAAATTATCCATAAACCAAATAAAGTAATTAAATATACAAAAATTAAAGATTTTTAATGCCTTTACCTTCTTTATAAGGGGTCCCATTTTTGAATTAATTCTAATTTTTTTCACATGCAATTAGGAAACCTACCCATTTCTTCTTAACTTCTTTTTTCCTTCTGCTTATTTTATTGCCAAAATCTAGTCTACTTTAATGTACATGTTACACCCATTCTTTCTACTTGTGAAGTATGGCTTTTCATGATTCTGTGTATGGCTGATAAGTTAAATTAAATCATCTCCAAGTTTACTTTAATCTGAGATGGAGGACTAACTAGTGGCCCATAGTGGTATTTGGCATTTGTAAGATATTTAATTCTTGATGTATTCATGTTAGAGAGAAATATGGCTTGTTCACTAATTGTTGGGCCTTCTACAAGTAATCATATCTGTGGTGTTTGTACCTGGCAGCTCTGAATCTTAATAATTGTTAATCTCCAATTATATGTTCTATGGAACCATTTCGGAATTTTTGTTTGACATCTTAATAAATTAGTCTATCTTTCTTTTTGACTACTCTTTTTTGGTTTAACACCAGTAACATGATTCAAAAACAGCTTAACCAATTGGACAAGTACCTACAAGCCTTAGCCCTTGCAGTAGCATTTATTTCTTTAATAATATATTGGCATAGAAATATGCATAACTACATTCATTTTGCATAATGGATGCTGTACATCTAGACTAGTGGTGCCCCCTGCAGCTTTTCTGATGTTTATGAGGGCATGGTATTTTTCTCCAGATCTCTTTGCTAGAGGAATCCGGGTTTCTTGAGAGAGCACTAGAGGAATTGTACAAGAAAGAGCCAAAAATAGTAAGTGTCAAATGTATAATGCCTGAATACTTTTAACGTTAAAAATTTTGTAAGTTTTGAATTTTTGGACATTAAAATTCTAATCAATTCTATTATTCTAGGTTGATAAATTGACTTATAAAGAACAAGAGGTTTCTCTCCTGGTGAAACTTGGACGCCTAGAAGAAGGTGCCAATATTTACAAGGCTTTACTTACCATGAACCCTGACAATTACAGGTGAGTCTTATGCATTTCGTACTCTTTTGAAACACCTAGTTAAGCTCATTAATAAATCTTTCATAGCAAAGAATATTAGCCAACTCTTTCCTTTTATATAGCACTTCTTGAAGTTATAATTGACTTCTTTTTCTCAATGCCGTGGTGTATTATTATTGTAGGAAATGAAGAATAATTAAAATTCTGAATAGTTTATGTGTTTAAATATATATTTTGTGGGCTAATAGGTTGTTCAATTCTTCTTGTAGTAACACCCAAATTCCTTTATCTATGTTAGAACTTTATGAAGGGTTAAAAGAATGGTAGAAATAGTCATTATTTTTTATGTTCTATTTTCGTTGGTGCTTTAAGCTTGAAACTAATCAATGTGCATCTCTTATGTCACATATTCAATCATTTTCTAGTTTTAAATTTTGTTTCTTTAAGCTTTTGCTTATACTTGTGCATGTTACATTTACATCATGGTATCTTTACATAAAATGAGGTTATATTTATTTTTTTCATTCTTGGGATTGTTTTATATCTGTTTGTCCTGTCAAGCCCTTTGCTTAGAGAAGTTGTATTTGACATTGATATTATACTACTTTGCCACACATTAAAGATAATATTATCATAGTGTCATGCCTTATGCAACATGATTTTAGTAGTCATCATTACATGTGAATGAAGTATAATTAGCTCTTTTAGTAAAAAGAAGCATTATGCACCACCTCATATATAAATATAATTAAAAAGTAGCAAAGCAACTATGAGCACAACTGTAATTCTATACTAGCATATGTGTCAACAGTCTCTTGGGTGCTTTCTCAGATTGGGAAATGAGGAAAATTCTTTTACAGAACTGTTAAATTATGTCTCTTCACTCAGTATATGCCTATATATCGGTGCAATCTATTGCTATTAGGTCTGATAAATAGGAAGCCAACCAACTTGCAATTTTTATATTTGTATATGTATATTTTTCAGATATTATGAAGGCTTGCAGAAATGCTTTGGCCTGTATTCTGAAAATGGCAAGTATTCCTCTGATGAAGTTGATCGATTGGATGCATTATACAAATCACTTTCACAACAGTACACTTGGTCTTCTGCAGTTAAGGTGATGGATTTATGTTGTGCTTCTGCTTTCATTAGGAATTTATGATGGATGTTATCGATACATTCTGTTTATTGCAAAAACTCCCTAGTGGTGGAATGTGCTACTCTAAACTGTTTTATTATGTCTTTACTGTTAGTCATATTAATTTCATTTTCTGTTTTGTATCTCTTTTTTTTTTTTTTTTATGAGCTCCAAATGGTACCTTGGGATGTTCTGTTCATTATATTTACTCTGGATTTCTTCTCTCTCTCTCTCTCTCTTATTTATAGTATCACATGATGCAAATCCAATGAAAACCTTACTTTTCTGCAGAGCTGCCAAGCTTTCTCCCCTTTTCTAGAGAGAGGAGTGGCTATTTTTACAAATACTCTTGCAGTGATCTTATTTTTCTTGATGGCTTGATAAGAAATTATGTGACAAAAATCTAGTGATGTGCTTCTACAACAGACAGTCCATTCAATGGCTTGTGATATTCTTAAATAATCTAGAAATAGATTGTTGTGGTATTATGCTGAAATACTTAATTGATGTCTTGATGTGACAATAGTAAGAACTCTAGGTGGTTAAAATTATGCTTTCATATGCTTCACCCTTAGAGATTTGACATGGTGGCTAATTCTTTTATTAGTGGCTATCTTTATCTCATTCTTTTAGTTAATCTGACTTTCCTATATAAAAACCTTTTGAAGGTGGGCCAGGTTATGGCATGATTGAAATAAAGTGTCAAATTCTAGAGCTTTTGGAATTTGACTCATGCAGTGAGGATGTATTTAAATTGTTTTCTTCCTGTAACCCACATTTGTTATGTATTCATTCATGAGAATTGTAATTATTGCTGTTACAATGTGCCATTGCCAATAAATGCTACTTCCTTTATGACATGTGATGAATGTTCCAGGACTTATGTTGGAACTTTGTTTTCTCAATTTTTAGAGGATACCTCTTGATTTTCTCCAAGGAGACAAATTTCGTGAAGCAACATTTAATTACATTAAGCCTTTTCTAACAAAGGTATATATATCCAATGAGATTTTTTTTCTTTTTTTGTGTTAGTTTGACTGGTGTTTTTAGTTTGTTGGGTGAAATAATGATATATTTTCTTGGTGGTCTCAGGGGGTTCCATCTTTATTCTCAGACCTTTCTCCCTTGTATGATCACCTTGGAAAGGTAAGTTTTCTTACTTTTATATTCTAAAAATAGAATTAAGTTTCTAAATATTGATTCTCTTAAACTGCTTAGCAACTAGTTGGAGCTTGATTTCATTAGGATTGATTACTGCTTTGTTGGCACTTATACAGGCAGACATATTGGAACAACTTATTCTTGGGTTGGAGCATTCAATTAGGGCCACCAGCAGATACCCTGATAGGTAATATATGCTTTAAACCCTTGTGTAATATTTTAGTAAGTCTTAAAAGCAAATAAATGTTTTAGATTTACTACTCTTTGAGGTAATATAGACTTTCAGCCGTTGTGTGATATTCTATTAAGTCTTAACAGTGTCCAAATGTTTAGATATTGGGTGCAGTCTGGGTGCATGTTTTTCTTTTACTGCTTATTGTTTGGTGAAGTCCTCGGTCATATGTGTGTTGTTATCTATTAAACAAGTACATAATGGTTGTCCCATATGGTTGCACGTAAAGTTCCTATAGTTGTATGCTAATACACAAGCACACATTTGGTATTATGCTGAGTCATTTCTTGCTTGTGTTTCATATTGAGTGCAGGACAGAGAAAGAGCCCCCTTCAACACTTTTATGGATTTTATTCTTTTTGGCTCAGGTGGGTAACCATCAGGTTTCCTCACCCCTTGGGCCATGGCCTTTTCTTCTTTTCTTGCTATAAATATTTGGTGCTTTCTTTGCATTTGAGTAACTTTGAATTTATTGATGCAGCATTATGATAGAGAAGGCCAATATGATGTTGCTCTTTCAAAAATTAATGAGGCCATAGAGCACACACCAACTGTAATTGATTTATACACTGTCAAGGTTTGTTCTCGCCTTCAATCTTCAAATTTTTGCATTGGCTTCATCTGCTGTGTTTTATAATTTTGTTAGCTGGATTTGTTTATTTAATTTTTTAATCTTATATTTTGAAATCTTTTTGCCCGGCTTGTCTCGCATCTCACAAGGCATAGCAATACCTGAAAATCTTTCTAAATATTTCCTTGTAGTTATCATTCACTTGTAAGAGACTTATCACTTTCTATGATACTGACCTTGATTGAATATATTGTTTTGCACTAAATTGTGCAAAGTTGATATACATTCATTTAAAATGCATACTAGTTTTTCTTTGTGGACCTTAAGTCTTGATGGGCATTGGGCAGGCATATGACCTCCTTTATTAGGTTTTAGGGTTTTTGGTACATGGCTATTGTTTCTTGATGAACCTTTTTACTATCTTTTGGAGAAGTTCTTGGAATTTTCTTGAAGCTGGTTCTCTGTGTATATTATTTACTTCTCTTTGGTGACAGAGTCGGATACTGAAACATGCCGGTGATTTGGTAGCTGCGGCTTCATTCGCAGATGAAGCTAGGTGTATGGATCTCGCAGACCGCTATATAAACAGTGAATCTGTGAAGCGAATGTTGCAGGCTGATCAGGTTCTAAAGCTTCCCCCCCCCCCTCCCTCTTTCATCTTTTGTCATAGTTAATATTTGTCACTGTAAATTTCTTTCAGTATTACTGTACGGTTCACAAACCTTTTCCACTCTTGAAGGTGGCTTTGGCAGAAAAAACTGCTGTTTTGTTCACAAAAGATGGGGACCAGCACAACAACCTTCATGACATGCAGTGCATGTGGTCTGTTTTTGTTTATTACCTTTGCATGTTGTTGTCTCTAATTATAATTTGGGTACACCTACTGAGTGTTATCCATCTTTTGAAGGTATGAACTTGCTTCTGGTGAAAGTTACTTTCGACAAGGTGATCTTGGACAGGCCCTGAAGAAATTTTTAGCTGTGGAGAAGCACTATGCTGATATTACTGAAGATCAATTTGATTTCCATTCTTATTGTTTGCGGAAAATGACACTCCGTGCATATGTTGAAATGCTAAAATTTCAAGATCGGTTGCATTCACATGCTTACTTTCACAAAGCAGCAGCTGGTGCCATCAGGTGAACATTTTTGTTAGGATCTGCAAGCTTTTCAATGATTTGGAATAGACTTATTCTATTTGGTTGTGGCCTGTACGTGTAAAATGCTATGTAATCTCTGTTGTCCACTTGTCTGGGTGCTTTTAGCGTCTGTCACCTATTGTTGATCAACACATGCATGTGATGCTTCACTTTGGATTAGATTCTCTTTGCCTCCCTCTTTTTCCTTTTGTCTTTTGGGGAATGGGGGATTATTGCATGCATATATGTTGCATTAATCATATGTTACAATGATGTGTTGTCTGAACCTTGCTTTCAAAGCATGACAAACTTCCTAAAGGTAACTGTTGTTCATTACTTACCCTTGTACAACCATTTATTTGTTAATTAGACACTCCCATTATGATATCCAATCTAATTCAAGACTCTTCTAGCAGCCCCTCCATTAATAGGGGAGGGGCTATCATATCAAGATTTCTGATTCCCTTCCACTACTCTCGTTTTTCCTTGAATCCTAGATGTACGGATTTACAACATTTTTTAAGACAAAACCTCGCTAAGTTTATAATCAAGAAAGTATCAAGAGTCCTTTTCTTACACTTGTTTTTGGTAGAGAAAATTTTTCGAGTTATATGAGCAAAACAGAATATAGGGTTCCAAGTTTTTTGTTAATCAAGCAACAACCTGATTTGAACCGGGGAATAAGGGATTTGCAGTCACCCACCTTACTGGTTGGCCATGTCACCAAAGGTTAGAAACAAAAAAAATGAGAGTATCCCCTTTTTAATTATAGATTGGAACCATACCTTCAATTAGTTATAGTATCTCAAGTAAAAAATTAGTATTGTTCTTTTTTTCAATAAAAAAAATTTTTAATTTGATTTATATTATATATAATAATATAAAACAATTATGATTCCATGTAAACACCAGAACAAAAGTTATTACACAGCTATAGTTATCTAATAATGTATTTCATCTATCTAGATATGATGTCCATAGGGAATTAGAAAAAATTATCATGTTTCAATTTTTCATTGAATAGATTAAAATTAAAGAAAAATAGAATTTTTCATAGACCACGTTGTGTGTTTTCTCCACTAGATTGCTATAATGGAATAAAAAAAGGGAAAGAATATAAATAGAAATGCTATATCTGCACAAATGCAAGCCTTTTTTCGTGCACACTTCAATCATATTCTAAATATTCTACTAACAAATAAAAAATAAAAAGTTGGTGAAACATCTCTCTACAAATCATTTTTGGAACAATGGAATCTATGAAAAAGTTAAGTTCGAGAAAAATCAACTCTCTCTCTATATATATTTTATGATTATTTTCTCTTTATCTAAATGAATAGATAAAATTAGGAATTCGTTTTATTTTTCTAGTATTCAATTGGATTGGAATATGTAATATCATAATAATGGTAGCAATGGAATTATTATTGTTATTATTATTATTTTTTTTTATATTCTATACAAAACTCCATAAGGCTAAATGGCTATCATATTGACTATCCTAAGGCCTTTTTTTTGTAATTGATAGATTCATAAGTTTTTCCTTAATTCACTCTTACATGGATTATTGAAAATGAAAAGTATATCAAAATGAAATATCTAATAAATTGACTAATTCAAAATTTTCAAATTAGCGATTTTTTTATTCCTGAATATCCTACTCACTAATTAATTCTTTATAATGTATTTTATTTTTCTTTGATAAATAAGATAGTAGCCATTGATGTTTTCCTATAATTTTACATAGACCTTTTTGAGGTAAATAATCTTTTTTGTGCAATTCCTAATTTGAGGTAAATCTTTGTATCTTATTGGTGAAACTAATTAGTTGAAATTCAATGGACTCCTTGTTTTCTTTGTTCTCCCCTTGAAAATTAACTGAGATCCATGAATGAATTTTTTATCATAAAACAAAATTTTCTCTTTTCTTTTTGAATGTGAATTTTACTAATCAATAATAATAATACTAGTCATTTTGATATGCACAATGATTTTAAATTCGTTATGAACTTAATGATTTTTTCAAATAATGTTAATCAATCTGTTTTTCAATTTCATTTGTATAGGAATACAAAAGAGAATTTTAGAGTTTAAATAAGAGGCTGTTGTTGATTCATTTGTTGATCTAATTGATATGTATGTGATTAAATTAGTATTATGTATCAGAATGCTATGTAAGACAATCCTTGTGCCCCGTCTATTTGTTTTATATACCTGATGGACCACATACATTATATATAGGAAAATGTACCATTAACGAATTTTCAACTGTGGATACATGTCTATCCTTACGATACAGAAACGAATGCTATTAATAAGCCAATTATGTTATATTATAAAGCAATTTTTTTTTGGTGACTTTACACATACCTTAGTTGCAATAAATCCTCTTGCCCTGGCAGGAGGTCTGAAGTTCAAATGCTCTCCCACAAATTATTAACTATTAAAAGAAGATGCAAATATTTGGATCTGCTTAAAAAATTTGTGTTCAAATGATGCTCAAGTCAAATTTAATTTAACAAGTATTCTAGATTATAGTTCCTTATTTTTATAAGGTTATATACTTGTTTCATACTTAGGATGGTGTTTTACGTTGTACTTAGGGGATTCTTATTACGTTGAGACCTTGTGGTATATGCCAAACAGGATAAAAATTTTGGTTGGTAGTCTCAATTTGCTTTCATTATATCTTTTGTAAGTTCATATTCTCGTGATGTTATTACTGAAAGGATTAAATGTTCCTTGCGGGCATATTGAAATTTGATATTGTGGCTTTTTAAATGATAGGAAGGCGGTGCCTGGGATTTCTGTTGGGTTAAGTATGGATAATTGCATGTTACTGTACCAGAATTTTTTTTTATTGATTATAGCTTTTTATATTGATCTTATTGATTTGATGGTAAAATGGAATGGGATGATATAGTGACAGGCCATGCAACAATTAAGTGTTAGTTTTTGTGATTGATCCATTGTACCTTTTCTATGTTGGTGTTTCTTTCTCTGAAACTCTTGGCTTGAAACTGGTGATTACTTTAATTTCGAATCTTTTCTTTCTGCATTGTGATAATTATTGGATTTTGAAGTGCAGATGCTATCTAAAGTTGTTTGATTCTCCTTTGAACTCACTGGCTGAAAAAGAGGACACATCAAAGACTCCTTCTCAGAAAAAGAAAATGAAGAAGCAGAGGAAGGCGGAACGAGCCAAGAAAGTATATCAGCTTGTTTTGGTGATTCTTGGCTAACACTCTCTTTGATGATTTCATTCTAATGCCGTGTATTATTTTAGGAGGCAGAGGAGAAAAATGAAGAATCAAGTTCTAGTGGCATCTCTAGGTCTGGGAAAAGACATGTTAAACCTGCAGATCCAGATCCTTTAGGAGAAAAATTATTGAAGGTTACCTATTATTATCTTTTTCTTGTGCTTTAGATTCCTGATTGAAGTCCTCATGTGCTGTCAAAATGTGTTTTGCTAATGCCTATGAAGCTAAGACTCTGTTTAAGCTGTTTTTTTTTTTTTTTAATTTTACAGACAGAGTATCCCTTGTCAGAAGCAACAAAGTACTTGAAGTTGCTTCTGAAGAACTCACCTGATTCTTTGGAGACGCACTTACTTTCTTTTGAAGTAAATATGAGAAAGCAGAAGATTTTGCTTGCCTTTCAGGTATTATATTTTCCAAGAATTGAACATGAGATGTGTTTCTTCTTCTTTTTATGTTTGGTCAACTAGAACTAATATTTAATTTGTCAGCTAGTGGTTTGTGAGGAAGCCCCTTCTCTTGTTTTCTCCTCTCTTTTTTCACTTGATGCCTGTGGATGTGTTCTTGAAGTAAAGAAACTGTACCTTTTAACCAAACATCTTTTTCTTATTACTTTATTCACTCAATGAATTTATGTGTGAATTAGATAGTTTGCGCGACATATCTTTGAGTTGTAGAACAATGGTTTTGTGCGGTAGTACTTTTACTATTTCATGAGCTCATATTAGTGTGTTTGTCTTGGTTTTATTTTGTTTTCCTGAAGGCTGTAAAGCAACTGCAAAGGCTGGATGCTGAGAATCCAGATTCACATCGCTGCTTGGTATGTAACGTCTGCCTTACCATATTTGTGCACTGCCATGCACAACTGCATTCTTTTCTGTTCTTAGATACAAAGATCATGTAATCTTTACAATGCTTATTTGAATTTAATCTAATGCAGATTAAATTCTTCCATAAATTGGGCTCAATGCCTGCTCCATTAACTGCTGCTGAAAAACTTGTTTGGAGTGTCTTAGAAGCTGAGCGTCCATCCATCAGGTTCTCTTTGAAATGGCTTTATGATAGCTATCCCCCGTACTAGAATTTTGTTGTATTACTATTACTATTATTATTTTGATCCCTGATGCATTAAATCCCTTTATTTTCTGTTTCCGCAGTCAATTGCAGGAGAAAACTCTTAGTGAGGCAAACAAAGTTTTCCTTGGTAAACATGAAGGTATTATGACCTTTACATAACGTGATGCATTTTAGGTTCCTTGAGGTAGGCTGTATAATCATGCAATTTTCACTTTTTGGTTCTGCAGAATCTTTGATGCATATAGTGGCAGTTGCAGAAATGTTATATACCTTGGAGCACACCAAGAAACTTGAGGCTGTTAAGTTAATTGAAGATTCATGCAATAAAGTCATGCCAATGTAATGCTCTTAGTGTACATTAAAATTTTTGCTGTTTGATGTTGATTCCATGCATTGCAACTTACTCTTGAGATTAATTGTTTCTTTCTCTTTTGCTTGTCCAGGAATGGGGCACTTGGACGAGTACTGGAGTGGAAACTCAAGGACTGTATTGCAGTCCATATACTCTTAGAAAAAGTTCTTATTGACCAAGATGCTGCTTTGAGTAAGTATAATTCTCCACATAATTGATGCTGACTAGAAATTTGACTTTGACTCCATTAACAACTAATGACATTAATTACTGTTGTTGGTTTAGAAGGTATTTTAGTAAGAATTTTAACGGTATTGAAATTTTGATATACTGTTATTGAATATTATAGATTAGATGCCTAAAAATAAAACATTAAATTAGGATTTTTAAATTTATGGTTTCAACATCATTCGGTGATTTTTTTGAGATGTATCTCACGAGTTCTGATTGCTTGTGGGTTTTTGTTATTATGATGCTTAATCTTTGAAAGTTGGATGCTGTGATTATTATTGGCATTTTAAAGAAAGGTGGACCTTCATGATAATAATTTTCTCACTTTCTTATTGATGTTTATTTAATTGAAGTTGCAAGCTATGTGACAAAATTATTCAAGAAATGATTGTTTATTCTTTTATTAGACCCTCTTTATTGATAGCTTATTAGACAATTGAAGTAAAATTAGGTAGACAATTTGAAGTAGTATTCTGTGCTTAGAGTTTTGTTATTTCTCATTTTTATTCTCACTTCTCATATTTTGCTCTGTATCCTGTAGCACTTACTCCTTGCTGGGGTTGTCAAACCTTGAGGATATTGGAAATTGTACAAATAATAGGGGAAATTTGCATTTCTAGTGATATTGATCATGTCTTACCTAATTTAAAGGTTGCTCAGGCTGAAAGAAATATCTTTGGTCTGATAATTTTCTTATACCGCAGGGTGGAAAGTGAGATGTGCGGAGTACTTCCCCTATTCTACCTACTTTGAAGGTAGTCGTAGCTCTGCTGTGCAAAACTTGTTGAACAATCAGGATAGCAAAGCTGCTGTGAATGGCGGTGCAAGCCATCCTGAAATCAGTCAAGGTGCAAATTCCTTTATATCAAATGGAAAGCTTGAGGCGTTTAAAAGCCTTACCATTTCAAGATGATGCTACTTAAGCGCATCAAATGACACCATATCTCAATGTGTTTGAATGATGGATCACATTAATTGTACCCTAGAAAGAGTGCTTTGCAGCAGGCTGAAAAAAGGAGCACCTTGAAGTTGTGCAAGCCATGACAATGCTTTCTTCTGTTGCTTTGAGATCAAAATTTCCGCTGCCTTTCTAATTAATTGTGAAATGCATTCCTTTGCAAAATGTGTATAAGTTATCCGCATTTATGATTTTAGGGTTGAATATATATATATATATATATATATATATATATTAATTTGCTCACCATTTGGTTGAGGTTTTTGGAGATATCTGGCTCCATGGTTTTGCCCCAAAATTTGAGGCGCTATAGAAAATTTTTGGGTACTGATGAAATCTTCTGGTCAGCATAGGAAGAACACTGTTTTAGAGCTAATCTTTGCCTTTGGAGCATGTTGTACTTCGCCCCTTTCATTAGTTGCCATTTATACACTACATAATGTGGAAAATTTTGCTACGGAGCTGACGAGAGTGGCTATAAAAAATTCCCAGTTTTGTTGTTCTAAGTCTCATCTCCTATGGTTTGCTGTTTGAATTTTATTATGGAGGAAAGATTGATAATTAGCGCAAAAAAAAGGATTTTGATTGGATTATAAAATTTTATTGTTAGTTGAAAAAGGTTAACGAAATCTTGTTGAGGTGCCTACGTAAAATTACTTTTCTTCAAATTTTATATAATTTAAATTATTAATATAATTTTGAGTTATATAGTTTATATAAAAAATAATTATTTTTATTTTAAAAGAATTAAATTATCTTATATCAAAATGATTAATTAAGTCTAAATCAAATATTATATAAAATTATTGTCCTATCTATCATTTTATATGCTAAACATAATTAAAAAGTATTAAATAATAAGTACTCTATGTAATTGGATGATTAAATTGTTAAACACTTAATTTTTTTTGTTTGAGTAATTGTTAATTATTAGATTTAAAATTTTTTTTTAACCAATCAAATTTGAATTTCATCATATTATACTTTGATTTGTTAATTTTTTTTAATACATTAAAAGTTATTTGATTATAATTATAATTTTTAATGGATTATAATTATAATTTTTAATGGTATATAATTTTATAAAAAAACAAAAGAAGTGTTTCCATTAATATTTATAATTTTATCTTTTCAAACCAAACATTATGGAAAAGCATGAAATCTCAATTTTTAAGCCTTGGAATATTTTCTAAAAACACCTTGAAGAAAAAATGAGTCTAAGTGATTAATTTTTTTTAAAATTTTTTATTTATTAATTTAATTTGTATGAAAAAAACATTAAACATTTAAAATATTTTCAAATTTATAAATTTAAAAATCTGACTAAATTAAAATTTAATTAAATTACATATTATTTGAACCAACAATTACGCCAAGGGATCTCATACCACAAGTTTAAAATTAAAAAAATTCATATTTCTCGTTGCTAGTTTGCATGAACACAACTTTACTTTATCTGCATGTCACTGAACCTTCTTTTCTTTCTTTCTTTCAACACTTTATTGAGTTTTTCTTTTGCTAAATATAATCAAGTAAGCCAATAAAGATTGGTGCAAATAGTTAAGGTTTAAGATTTAGATATAAAGTATTTAGATTTATTGCTTCATATTTAAATCTCTAAAAATTAATAAATAATTTATAAATCTAAAAAATTGTTAAAAATTAAAAAAAATTATAAATTGATGATTTATTTTAATCTTAAAAATAAGATAATTTCTCTTATCTTTAAATTAATTTTTCAAACAAAAAATAATAAAATAAAAACGTCATAACATGAAGAGAATCTTACACACAATGTTTTCAAAGAGATTTGATATATTTAACTCGATTTTCTTCTCAATTGATTCATTATTTTAATTTTTCATTCATGATTTTGTTAATTTTCTCATTGATACTATAGTTATCATTAATGTTTTAGAAGAAAATCATAAGGTGCAGTGATGGCTGACCCCATGGAATCATAAACACCACCATGTGTCTTTGTGGGTAACGCTAAAGAAGAGGGAGGGTCCTCCCTTACTATGAGAAAAGCCTAAATTTTTAAGCCACCAAATAAAATGAAGGCAGCTCATTTTTCTGTTAATTGGTGAGTGGTCTTTTTGTAATTGCAACTATTTGTCAGTCTTTCACTGTCTTTTTGGCCAATTTTGAGAAAAATGCTATTCCTTCTTACTCCAGTTACATCTTCCTTGCAACTTTCAAGCTTCGGCTTGGCTGAGCTTTTGGTTAAACTTTTTTTTTTTATTTTAATTGGTTTGGTGCGTGGGTAATTTTAATTTTAATTTAGAATTACTTTTGCTATTATTCGCATTCTCCATTCCTTCTCAACTTTATTTTCGTTAGAAAAATGAAATTTCTTTTAAAATTGATGAGGCTTCTTCACTCTTTCTATTTTCCTTTTTTTAAAATGCATTTTTTTATTTATGTAAAAGAAATCAGTTTGCAAAGCGGAGCCAATTTCCATCAAACATGTTTTTCATTTAGTCACTAAATTTATTTTAAATACAAAAAAGTCAATTTTTAATTTAAAATTTAACCGTTGGTCAAGTTTTAATGGTCAGATATTTTTTAAAATTTAGAAATCTCTTGCTTCAACCTTTCTTCTCATCATTTTAATTTTCTTTCTCTCTAATTTAGGTTTTCATTTTTGGATTCTTTTTCGATGTTAGGGTTTGGAATAGAAATTATTGTCGATATTATCGACATTAAACAAGTAATGAGTCGACTCAACTTCCTTTGAGATTGGGCATCAAGTTTAGGTTGGGAAATTAAGGTTCTTAATCTAACAGGAAGGAAACTAATTCTTTTGAGGCGAAGGAATTTTTCTCTGACCGATGTTTAATCCAAACAAAGTAGAATCTTTTGGAGAATTGGTTGACGAAAGACAAATTGGAATGTATGAGGAACTTAGAGAGCTTATGAAGGTTTGATTTTTACCATCTTAATTAATCTTATATAAATATATAAAAGACAAAGCTTTTGGCAAAAATGAAAAAAATTCTATGTGGACGACTTAAAATGTTGATATATGGATGATGATTTTAAAAATCATCACTTGACATCTAATAAATGCATTTTATTTTATTTAATATATTTTTAATCTTATATAAATATATAAAAGTCAAAGCTTTTGGCAAAACTGAAAAAAAATTTGTGGATAACTTAAAATGTTGACATGTGGATGGTCTTAAAAATCGTCACTTATATCTAATAAATGCATCTTATTTTATTTAATACTTTTTTAATTTAAAAATAATTGAAAAAACTAAATTGATTTATATTTATGTTTTTATTATTAACTTTAAATCAATTCAATTCATATTAAAAGCATTAAATTTTTAAAAAAATTTTAATTAATATATAATTAAATCAATTAACATATAATTAATAAATACTGCAATTACAATTATAAAATAATCGATTCTCTAATCAATAATTTGATACATTTATATTTGATTAAATATAATATCCAGTAATTGATGTGTTTCTTGTGTAAATATATAAAGCAAATATAATTCAAAAAACTAAATTGATTAGTTTATGTTTTTATTATTGATTTTAAATCACTCTCAATTCAATTCATATTATAAATATTAAAATTAAAAAATTTTCTTAACTTGACAAATTAAATCAATCAATATATAATTAATAAATTAATAAATACAACAATTACAATTATAAAATAATTGATTCTCTAATTAATTATTTGATACATTTATATTTGATTAAATATAATATCTATTTGAGTAATTGATATATTTCATGAGTGATATATTTCATGATGTATTTCATTTGTAAATATATATGGAAAATATATCAAATTAATTCTCCGTAATGGAACAAAATAATTTACTAATATTTGTATTACTGTATTATCTTTTACTAATTTGAATTATTAGTAAAATAAATAAAAACTAAAACCTTACGCAAAACAAAAAAAAAAATCCAATGTAAATGGTCTAACTTATTGACATGTGGACTATCTTGTATTTCATAACTTTTATTGTTTTCAAATTATAAAAGTTTAAAAAAAGTTTAATACAAAATAAAAATAAAAAACAAAAGAAACAAGTGCTAAAAAAACAGATTTTAAAAACGCAAACTAGAAATAAAAGGAAATTTGTGAACAAAAAAGATATAATAAAAACAAAAAAAAATACAAAAATGAAAATACAAAAGTTATGAAATGAAACAAAAAGATACAAAAAGGATAAAGAAAATTTTAAAACAAAGAAAATAACATATAAAACAAAAAAAATTTAAAGCACACGAAAAAACAAGTAAAAAGAAAACAAGAAAAAAGTAAATGAAAAATTATAAATTAATAAATAAATAGAAAAAAAAGATAATAAAAATTATTTATTCATTTTAAATTCATAAATAAATAAATTAAATTCACCTTTACCTTACTCTTATTAATTAATTCCTATTTAAATATTCGACTTCAAGCATTATCATAGGTTGCTTTGATGCATTAGAGTATTGGTTTTGAAAAGTTGCTAGACCTCTAATTCTTCTATTTTTGCTCTTTACGTTTGCTCATTTGTTTCTTACTATTCCTTTGTGCTCATTTTGTATTTTTTATTATTTAATTTAGTATATATGTTTTATGACCTATATTTCAATTATGTCAACTTTTTTATTATGTTTTATTTAAGTTGAGCAAATCTTATATAGTCATTCATTCTTGGAATTCTGATTTTGATTTTGATGGTCAAACTTTGAAGTAGTAAATTTGACAATGATAGTAATTCTTCAAGATTGCCATTTAAAAAGGTTTAGATTGTGCCCCTTTTTTATTATTTTCAAGCAAATAGGCTTATTGTTTTCAAATTATAAAAGTTTAAAAAAAGTTAATACAAAATAAAAATAAAAAACAAAAGAAAAAAGTGCTAAAAAAATAGATTTTAAAAATGCAAACTAGAAATAAAAAGAAATTTGTGAACAAAAAAGATATAAGAAAAACAAGAAAAAATAAAAAAATGAAAATACAAAAGTTATGAAATGAAACAAAAAGATACAAAAAGGATAAAGAAAATTTTAAAACAAAGAAAATAAATTAAAACAAAAAAAATTAAAGCACACGAAAAACAAGTAAAAAGAAAACAAAGGAAAAAAAGTAAATGAAAAATTATAAAATATAATAGAAAATAGCAAAAAAAAGATAAATAAAAATTATTTATTCATTTTTAATTCTATAAATAAATAAATTACAATTCAATTTACCTTACTCTTAATTAAATTAAATTCCTAATTTTAGATATCCGACTTCAACATTATAAATAGGTTTGCTTTGATGCATTAGAGTATTGGCTTTGAAAGTTTGCTAGACCTCTAATTCTTTTATTTTTGCTCTTTATTTGCTTCATTTGTTTCTTACTTACTTCCTTTGGTGCTATTTGTATTTTTTATTATTTAATTTAGTATATATGTTTTATGACTTATTTCAATTATGTCAACTTTTTATTATGTTTTATTTAAGTTGAGCAAATCTTATATAGTCATTCAATCTTGG